GAGGGACCTCGCCTCCTGAACGTATAGCACCGTGATGCGGCTCATGGGCAACCTGCCCGTTCTTTGCATCGTATCTGCGTCTTCGGTGGCAAGCATAAGCTTTAAGCTACCCTTCCGCTCCCACCTCCGGGTGCCAGCAGCATCTGTGAAGCGGAAGGTCTGCCCTGAGAAAGACCACAGTTTCGCACAAAATCTCCATGTGCTGTGCAAGCATACCGGGTTGCCGTCTCCTATCGAGAGCACTTGTGATGTGCTGTACGAAACTTGCCGAAAAATTGCGCTGGGTGACCTGGCCTTGTTACAGGCCTTCTAGTGCCCAGGTGCTGTATGACCTTCAGCGTGGCAGTTCGCCAGCAGCCCGCCCCTACCTGGACGATGTCCGCTTCTGAAGTCGGATGGAGTCCGCTTCTGTTAGTCTTCAAAGCTGGTGCAAAGCCTCTCACACAAGCACTCAGGTTTGGACCTCTCCCCGAAAGGGCTCCGACCAGGCGGTGGTCCGAAGTGTGCCAGATATGACCGTTCCATTCGTTCCGTTCGGAGCCAGCTGATGTCAGCATTGACTTAGTGACTGACATCCAGCTCTTGGCCCAGGTGGGTGCCACAAGCTGAAACTAAGCAGTTGTCTCGTTCGGACTATGTGACTATGTCCAAGCTGGAAGGCTCCGTTTCTTCATCGCATGATGCTGTCGCGGCTGCAACAAGCGCTGTTGAGGTGAGGGCAGAGGCTCCAAGTGGCTCCTGAGCCCCAGGCCGACTTCTGTGAGGATGTGTCGCCGATAGGGAAATCGGGCACGCCCGCCCGAGGATGTCTCAAGTCAAGGTGGCCGCGGTTCCTGTCGCCATAAGACTGCGATGCCCTCTGTGGACTGCAGGTTGCTGTGTTGGGTCGGGGTCTCTTCCTGCCGTCCATGCCATGACCAGGCTGCTACAATGCCCATGCGACCGCTTCATAACTTGATTGCCAGTGACTGAGTAGAAATGATTGCCCTGTTACAGGTGCAACGCCTTGAAACGCCACAGCTTTCAGAGTGTGCAGTTTCGACCGGATGTTTTTCCATCGCCTCGCAAGTGAACTGCCGTCCTCCCACCTGTCAAACTGGAGTTCAGGCCCTTCAGGTGCCAAAACTCGGGGCCAGCATGCATAAAGCCCTTCTTTCGCAGGCGATTCCCATGTATGGCTCAAAGACGAAGTCGTCTTTTCTGATCTGGTTGCCGTTGCCGCTGTTGACTCAGATGGGCTTTGAAGAAAAGCTCTTCCAGAGCCGTCGGTGCTCACTCCAAGCTCCCCCTCCTTGGCCTTATATGTCCAGGAGCTGATCCCATGGCCCATGCCTTCCATTTCAATGCGAAGCAATGACGCAGAAGCCTACCTTCCACTGCCTGCAGATGTAGCCTGGCTCTCCGGTCCGGCAGAATTTCAGGTCTGCATGGATCTGCTTTGGCCTCGGGACTTCAAGGCAGACTCTTCACAGTCTCCGTTCTGCTTTGTGCGAGATTTTAGTCGCCGGAGACAATGCTGTATCAGGCAGTTCTGTGCGCAACCGGATTCAGGGAGAGATTGCACTCTGTGCTGCATATGGCGCCTTGGCAGAAAATTTCAGGCCTCAGCCACGATGTTGAAGCCCCGGAGCTTCGGAAGACGTGTGCCGGCTTGAGACAGCTTCGGTACCGAACTTGCCGATGAGGAGTCAGATTCACGCACCTTGTTGCGGGCAGTTTGGTCAAGCGAGGGGGAAGCACATGCACGGATTGTGTTTGCTTTGCGAGAAAGGTGCGGAATGACGTTCCTTGGAAGAAGTAGTGTAACAGTGTAACCTTGCCCGCCGCAAGTTATGATGTGCTCCGTCAGAACACCATAGACCCTTGATCTGTGAATGGCCCCGAACTCCAGGCCCCAACCTGCCCTGATGTGCTGCATGGGGTTCCTTCCTGGCCGAAGGATCTCGCTGCAAAGGCCAAGCACCCAAAAGGGTTTCCCAGGTTCCCATTCCGCATGGTAGGGAAGGTCTCGTCTCGTTTCCGTCACAAGGAAGTCACATGGCAGGCTCAAGACACTGGCATTAATCATGCCGGGATGCCCCACCTACAGTAAGGAGATTAGAGCCAGACCTCCTGGCTGGTTGTGTGAGTCCACCGTACAGGCATTCCCACCTGCTTTCATAGCCATCATCCTGGATGCGCGGAGGCTGCTCCGCGATGATCCGCGATGTGGCACATCCCTTGCAATTGGTCGTTTCCTGCCTGTAGGACTGAGTTGATCCTGCAAAATCCCAGAAAGAAGGCGAAGGAGGCGAAGGCTTTATGGGGTTCTCGCAAAGCCAGACCTGTCTCCCTCAACCTGAAAGGCCCGAAATTCAAGTGAGATTCCGATGGCCCTCGAGCTTACGGTTTCCGTGGGGATCGAGACAGCTGCAGCACGCCTAGCTGGGATAGTCTTGCGAAGGTGCTCAGCTCCGACTGCGTCGGGAGCTCCCCACGTAGGAGCCTGTGATGTCTGCCTTCACAGCAGCGGGTAGCGGGGTAGCAGACGTCCTCGAAGACGCACAGTGGTGCCCATCGCAGAACCTCTGCAACTTGTGGGGTTCATGAGAACACTCTGCTGACCCGAGACCTTCGCACCAAAGCACTCAGGGCACTTTGACATGGGCTTGTGTGCGTTTCGGTGGATCCAGTTTTGCGGCTTCCCAAGGACACTGCATTTAAGCACCGGTGCCGGGCGTAGGCCAACGTGCAGTAGGGCCTTGCGTCGATTCGGCCCTCTCAAGCCACCGCTTCCTGCATACCCGAGCCGCGGGTGAAAAGACTTTTGATGCGAAGGCAGCTTGGCTTGCGGACGTCATTTTGAGTCCAGGGCGGCTTGCTTGCTCAAGCCCGAGGGCACCGTTGACGGCAGCTTTCACCAGGGAAAATGCGATTTAAAAGAAGCCGGAGGAGCGAGCGCGTGTTGAAGCTTGCGACCATTACTGAGAGCAGCGTGCCGCCACTCGAGACTACTGAAGCACGTGTGAGACGCTGCTGCCATGACCCAGTCTTCCTTTGAGGTGGCCATGTAAAGCAGCGGGACGCCGAGATTAAGTCGAAGCAGCTGAAGATGAACGGTGCAAGCACTTGGGCTGCTGTTGCTGCTTCAGAGCCGGTGCTCGGTTCACGGCATTCTGCCGAAGTCCTCTCACACTGGCATGTCGACGGAAGCCTGCTGATACCGACGCAAACACCGGAGGCGCCCTGCTGCAGTCTGGTTGAGCGTCGCTTTGCATTTTGGAGATGTTGTGCCGTTAAGCAACATCCGACTGCGGCTTTGTACTGTGCAACTTCTGCAGCCTCTCCTTGCTTGCTTCTTCACACATCGACAAGGCATGTTCACTGCTGCGTGTCTGTGGCCTCGTCAGTGTCTCGGTATTGTCCGAGACAACCCAGCCGTGAACAGCGCAGGGCTCTCCATTTGTTTTGGTTGGCACTGTGGCGCAGTCGCCTCATATCCTGCTGCCAATGGAAACACCGTGGCAGATGGCGCCTGTGGCATCTGAACTTGGGCCTTGGCGTGGGCCGCAGCCGGCCCCAGATTTTGAGACGGGCTGCCTGAGGCTCGAGGGCCGCTACGGTGCAGCTGCAGACTTGGGACTTGGCATGCCTGCACAACGCGGTCAGCAGTCAGACGGAGCTCTGCTGGCTCTCACCAGACCCCCTCTTGTCCTCCAGCCGACGCTCGGCTGAGGCGATGAACCGCCACTGACTTGCCTGGCTCCTCTCAGGACACGCTCTGCATGTCGACTCCTCGCAGGACCTTGAGACTTGAGGCCCATCAATTCCAGTCTCTGTGGATGGCTGCGATCACCAAAGCTCCCAAAGCTTTCAGCGTCAGATACTCAAAGCCTCGGTAGGGTCATGCTGCTTTGTACATGTTGGGCTGTTGGAGATTGGCCGGTGGCAGTTCCATTAAGCAGAAAGGGATCCTACTTTTGCAAGTTGTCGTCGGCATAGTGGGAATCGCCCGGGCAAGCGTTTCGTTGGTGGCTGTCACTGAGTCTGTTCCATGCCACAGAGGTCTGCGCAGACAACAATAAGGTAAAGGTGAGGAAGTCGGTGGCATTTTGTTATCGCAGGTGCAAAGGTCATCAAAAGACTAAGAAGCTGTTGATGAACTCGTGCGAGCCACCGCCGCTTTGGTCATGAGAGCTTTTGCATTCCACCAGCACTCAAACCACCAAAATTTCGGTGCCAGACTTGCCTGCGGTTGCCTGCACTTTGACTCCCGGTCCTGGAGCAGCTTTGTCTCTCAGTCTCCACCCAAGGTCACACCAACGCAAGCTAGAGCGACATAGCCGGGAGGGTTGCTTTGAAACATACTCCCCAGCGGAGCAGGCGCATCCTGACAGGCCTCCGCTTGCTGGCTGTTGTAATTGCCACTGTCTCCGACAGCACTGCGAGTCAAACTCAAGGCTGGAGGAAGCAACTGCTCCAGCGTGCCCAGTAGAGGCCCCTTGTGACATGAAAGGCCGACGAGCTTCCAAGTAGCATCCCACATCGCTGTCGCCTGAGTTGAGCCGGTGCTGGCGATAAAGGGCTGGGCTGGTGGAAGACCTGGGTTGCTTCCTGGTTGGAGGCTGTTTATTGCCGGCACAGGGAGGATGATCCGCGCTGGTTTTCAGATGTGTCATGCGACAAACGAAAGTGTCAGCTCCATCCGAAGCAGCTCGTTGCATCCCCTTGTGCTGACCGCAAGATGTAAACTGGGTGCTCTCCCAAAGAAGCCAAGCACAAGATCTGCAAACTTCTCGGGCCGTAAATTTGGAAGTTTGGCAGCTTCTAAACCTTTTCGCACACGCTGCAGATGGTACATTCAAGGGGGCTCCCAGGTACGAGTGTTTGACCTTCGCCTTGCTGTGAAGACTCACTTAGAAGGTTCGGAATGCCCTTCGAAGCGAGTGATAAGTGCGAGAGAAAGCTGTGCTGTTCGCACAAGGGGACCCTTAGAGCATCTTTGAGCTTCAAGAATGCAGCGGTATTCGGGAGCATTCTCAAGTGTTGAGGAGACGAAGAAGCAAGATCTGGTTCGTCGCCAGAGTTTCGGCACCTCGATTGTCCTGAGCAAGGCAGCTTCATCACGCATCTCGTAGGGATTCAGCCGAGGCAGGCTGCAACTTGGAGAGTCCAGGTGCAAGAAATTCAGGCCGTGGTCTCCCTGTCAGTACTGCAAGGCCGGACATGCGAAAGCGGCTGCGGCTGCAGGCCGCTCTTCGCCTGCGACTGTGCGGTCCTGGAGTTGAGGAGCCGTGTGGAGTGATGGCAGCTGCCATGGCCAAGAGGATTCCATTCAGTGCACTAAAGCTTGATGGAAGTGCTTAGTCTCAGGCAAAGTTTGCCAAGAGGCTAGGTGCGCCTGTCAAATCTCTTCTGCAAGTCGGAGTGTGTCGACAAGCTGCCTCGTGGCAAGCGCTGGTTTATTTCGTTGTCTCTTTCAGGCGTAAGCTTGAAAGCCAGATGGAATTTGCAGCCTGGACAGAGTGCCACGGTCGGTCGTTGGTTTACCTTATGTCCACTACTCGCCAGAGAGTTTGGAACAGCCAGGAACCGGTTGCGAAGCAGATCCCTCCTCACTTCGAAATTGCCATCCTCTTGCAGGCTGCTATCAAGAGTCTGCAAACTCCTCGTGCCAACGTTGCAGAGGAATCCGCTTCGAAGACTTCCGAAAGCCCGCCGGAGGCAGAATGAATATCATTGAGCCTTCTCTTTGCGTCTTCTTGAAGCTTAAATGCCAGAGAAGGGCTCTCCTTTGTGGTCTCCCATGGTCTCCTTGTTGCCGCCTCTCGTTCATGGCGGCTCAGCAATGCCAGGGACATCAAGACCGGGTTGTTCTCTCCAGGATTTTCGCGGGTCAAAGGCTGAAGATGTGCGAATCCAAAAATCGTCCGTGAAAGACGGGATGCCATGGGTTTTCAAAGGCTTGCCCTTCTTTGGTAAGTGTGCTTTTTCAAAATCCTCACTTTCGTTGTTTCGTCCTGCAGGCAGTCCAGGCGAAGTTCCAGGTTGAACAAGTTTTGTGTATAGTGGTTGCTTCTCATGAGACTCACATGCAGGTAGTCAGCGACTTCGTCCGACACTCACCCTCCCCTCAAGTCACTCACGCACATTCACTCACATCACACCTCTGTCTGACTGTCATTCGCTCTGACCGTGACCCACTCTCAGTCATGCTCGCCGTCATCGACTCCTTCTCACTCAGACTCATTCGTTTGCATTCACTTGTACACTCCTACACTCAGTCTCTCTCACTCTCACTCTCGCGATGCCACCCATAGAATCTGGGAGTGTTGCATAGATACTTCCCGTAAGAGACGTGTAGCTTGCAACTCAACATCAAGCTTCGTTTAGCACGAACTCAATTTCCATCCAGTTTCAAGGCTCACATGGTGGGAGGCCTAGGATGTAGGTATGTCGGAAATGCGTGGTCATTTCCTTTCCTGTTCCTGGCTGCTTTGCATGGCATGGTTGCCTGCAGCTGGTGGGCAATCAGGATGCTTGCCCAGCTCCGGCCAGCAGAAGAACTTGACGCAAGGTGGCGCGGTCTTGTGTGCAGAAATATTTTAGCCGGCAGCCCGAACACCCCGATCCCCTTCGGCTAAGATGCGAAGGTGGGGAATCCTATCCCCTTGGAATCCGGTACGATGGCGCCCTCGCTTCCCAGTTGGCTTCGCGGCTGGTCCACATCCTCATAGAGGATCATTCTTGTTGCTTTTTCGTTTGAGGTTGACAACATGTTTTTCTCCGCCAACGGAGGGTCGATATCAGGAAGAGTTGAACTAGCACTGCTTGTGCATGGTCGAAGGACCCTCGCCAAGGCCTGAAAGTCGTTCAGAGGTCTCCAGATTTGTTGCGGCAGCTGTGCCGTTGAGTTGTCGCAGGGATTTGGCAGAGTAGAAGACCAGTGCAGTCCCGAAGCAAATGCAGGAAGAGCTCGGCTACAGCGTCGCCAGACAGGATGGAGATTCGCATGCCGGCATGTATGCACTGATGGGTTGCGCAACCGACGGGACATGCATCCAACCGACTCGCCAGCACATCAATATGGCAGTATGGATGACGCCGGACCTTTCTGCTACATTCGGGGATATTCACTCTGAGCGAGCATCTGAGGCTCCTGTTAGCGCCGGCAGCATGGGCCATTTCGGCTTAGAGCAAATCTTCTACAAGGTGAGTGCCCGTGAGCGAGCTCGTCAAGACGGAGTCGATCTAGACTCTTACCAGGGCTGGAGCACTACTGGAGTATCGGCTTACTTTGAAAGTATCAGCTCAATCGACAGAAGTCTTCTGGCCTCATGCAATTCTAGCTTTGGTTTCACGAACACAGCTGCGAATGAAAACTACCTCCGCATGACGGGTGACGACGGAGGATTAACCCTGTCGGGCCTACCGGATGGTGGGTTTGTGGCTTACTGCTCTGATGGGTACTTCTGGCTTGCACCATCGTGCCGAGACGCAGCAGAATCTTGCGTGCCATATATCACTTTCTCCTCTTGGGGTCTTCCCGAGACAATGCAAAAGGCCACCATCTACCAAATGCCGCTGGCACTGGCTAATGCTCGCACATATTCGGATTGGACTGGTTTGGTTCGAAGAGTGAACTGCGCTTTCTATTGGTGGACACCATCCTCACTCTTCGTCGATCTGTCGCCAGTGCCGATAACTTTCCCCCCCCACAACCCAGTTGCGTGGAGGGCCGGAGACATGGCCTCTACGGGCCCACCCCAGCCGATCTGGAACATGATCAGCCAGGATGGGGTTCCAAGGCAAAACGGAGCCCGAGCCCGAGCCTAGAGACCTCTGATTCAGGATTGCAAGTGGCCTGAGAGGACCTGGCCCTTTTGGCACCGGATGCTGCGGACCTCGTCAAGAAGGCTCCGGGGAGGATCTCTCCCCTGCGGATGTGGTTCTTTCGTTGTCCTGTAGATTCTGAGGAGAGTGGCGGCATTCCTTGGGATTGCAGTGTTCGCACACCAATGCTTCCTTCTTCAGGTCCGTCTCCCCCTAGAGGACGTGGAGTCTATGCTGCGGGCCGCCGGCCAGTTTGAGCAATCTAGTGGAGACTCTGGAGTGCACGAGGCGGCTTGCCGCTGGCTTCAGGCCGGGTAATGAAGCTGCAGGTAACTAGGCACGACTTGCGAGCAACATATCAGCGCCAAGATTCGAGGGGCTTGTTCCGACTTTGAGGATTCGGAGTCTCCTTCTCCGGAAAGCACCCCGGCTTCAGGCAAGAGTGTATCAAGGAACCGGGCGCATGCTGTCCGTGAACCCGTAAGAAACCAACCTGCACCTCCAACAGGAAGGACACTGAAAGGTAACTGAAACAGAGTGGTCAAGGTTTGGGCCAAAACCAGTCCGACGTTTTCGGATTCAGAGCCTAAGGTCTTTCATTTTAGGGAACGCGGCGTGGGGTTAAACCTTTTGGGTTGTTGCTTGTTTCTGGATTGCTTGAGAGTTTTGAGTTTAAGGTTTCCTGTGGTTCCGTTACTGGGGCATCCCATGTTCTATGCTAGCAGGATGGTTCCTGTTGCGGCGTTTCCTAGTTCCCGTTTTGGCTTCTGACCCTGGCTTTCGTTATTACCTTCCCCTGGTTTCGATTGAAGGCAAACAGGGCATCTTGGGAGCTATGGCTACCCGACGAGACGATCTGCACTCCCGGAATGGGTTTGTTCGATGCTGGCCGCCAGACCTTTATGCAGAGCAGGTGGGAGAAGTGAGAAGTGGGTGTTGCATCGGCAGCCATGGCGTGCCTGTTACGCCACAGCCCCACAAACCTCAAAATCCAAGCATTGACAGCTGAGGTTGCCGAGGCTTTTCGCTTTAAGGCCTAAAAATGCACTTCCGGGATGCCAGGCTCGAGGTGGTCGTATTCGGGGCTGGGGTTTGGGATCTATGCGGCAGGTCCATGTACTGTAGGCTGAGCTAAGATGCAGGATTTGATGGTTGAGCTTTCTGGCCAGTCGTAATCGTAGTAGTAGTCTTCGTCGTGCTACTAGTCGTAGAGTCGTCGAGTCAGAGGCAGTAGTAGTAGTAGTAGTAGTAGTAGTAGTAGTCTCCGCTACCAATGTTAATGTACTACAAGCTGTCGCTTGCTCGTTCGCCCTGGTCTAAGCTGTCCAAGGGATAGCCGGCCTTCTTAGGTCGCCCAAAGGGGCCACGCAAAGACGTCTTCGGATGTTTGCGCATCGAGAGAGAGAGAGAGAGTAGTAGTAGCTTATATTTCCATTGTGGGGAGCTATGTTACTTTGCTCGTTTCCCAATGCCTCGGTGGTGTAGTTGCGTCTATCCTCCCCCTCCAAAACGGTTGGGGGCGCGACAGCGCGCGGGCTAGGGGAGCTCCCCTAGTCCACAGCCCTAACGAAAGAAAAAGGAAGCAAAAGAGGGGAGCCCTTCCCCTAAGAAAAGGAGAGTGGAACGAGCCACTGGCAGCATGCAACCGCCGCACTACTTGCCCGACGACAATGACGGTGCCAGACGTGGACTTCAACAAGCTGAACCTGACCCAGTTCTACGACAACAAAACGAACGACCTCCTCTCCAACGACTTCCCCGAGGAGATCTTCTGTACTGCGAGCACAGCAGATCCTCGAGAGCGCATTGCCCTTTTTGGAGCAGGAGGTTGCCACGACGCTCGCGGAGGCACACTCTCTGCTTTTCAGCTGGACAGCGGCGATATGGGGTTCGCCGGTGGTCCTGGTCGAGCCAACACAGGACGAGATGCCAAACGCGGGGGAAAGCCCCGACTCAGCCGCCGAAACAGTACCGTGGCATCCTCAAGAACCGCTTTGGCATCCGCAGGACCTTCTTTCGCATGAAGCATGTCTGGAAACAGGGGAAGAGACCCTTCAGAACGACACTATGAGCCAGACATCGCACCGTCGACGTAGAATGCATTCCCTCTGCGACGACTGAGCTGAGCTGCAGCAAAGATGGGAGACGGAACCGTGAGTGAGGGCGCAGCTCTTTACAGGGGGAGCCCCCTGGGTTTTCTCCGTTCAGGTTGTTTTGTCTTCGGTAGGTTCAGGGGTTGGAGGTTTATTTGAGGAGGCTCGAGATCCCAGGCTCTAGGCTCAACTTTCTTATGTGAAAATGCGTGATTGGCCGGGCTCCCCCCTTCTGAAAAGGAGGCTCTGAACCGAGACCTGGTCCTCTCCGTAATGTAGATTTTGGTTGCATCCTGTTCTTCGTTTCTTTATTGTTGAGGCCTGGTTTCTGTGCGAACGATCACCAGGGGACAGGTTCTCTCCGATTTGTAGTACCCTTTCCGAAACCACCAAGGGTTCGCTTCATTAAGTTGCAGTTACTGCAACTTTGATTCCAAAGATCGGGGAAAACAGTCCCCTGCAGCCGACATTAGTGTGTAGTGTAACCGGCTTTCCGCTCTTTCAGTTGACTTGTGTCTGATGCCGTGTTATAAAATGATGATGCAGCCGGCCGTCGAAGCGAACCCACTGGAGGCATAACGAACTGACCAGCCTTCATGCCCTTAGTGTTTGTTGGCCATTCTATTCTGCATGTTGCAGCTTATATTTCCATTGTGGGGAGCTATGTTACTTTGCTCGTTTCCCAATCAATGCCTCGGTGGTGTAGTTGCGTCTATCCTCCCCCTCCAAAACGGTTGGGGGCGCGACAGCGCGCGGGCTAGGGGAGCTCCCCTAGTCCACAGCCCTAACGAAAGAAAGTAGTAGTAGTAGTAGTAGTAGTAGTAGTAGTAGTAGAAGTAGTAGTAGTAGTAGTAGTAGTACTACTACTACTACTAGTTGACTGCTAGTTGTAGTCATAGTTGTAGTACTGGTAGCAGCAGCAGTAGCAGTGGCAGTTGCCGTCGCAGAAGTGGATAGGACTATCACGCTGGAGAATTGCGGTAGCAAGCAGTTTATGCACTAGCAATTTAAGCCGCATAATGGCAACAACAAGCATACTTGCTCTTATTAGTGGTTTAGTGAGTCTCTACATAGCAGGCGACACAAAGGCACATGACCCCAATGCCTTTGCTGCTGAAGACCTCCGAATAGCACCTTCGCGGCCTTGTAAGAAATAAGAGGCATCCGGGAGATGATAGTGCTTGTAGCAACAACGAGAGCAATACACGTGGCCGTCAGCGAAGCAGACCTTGCAAGCAGACAACGTATGGGCACAGGCGAGCCGAGAGATCACTACAGCTAGGCAGCATGACGAACAAGTAATCACGTTCAATCGTCCAACCGAAGGACAACTTACGGCAGAAAACCGTGTGTAGACTGCATAGATGTGTGAATGTCACCCTCTTCCGAGCCAAGTCTTTTCACATTTCTCTCTCGCTTTCTGCCCTGGTCTCTCGCTTCTATCGCGCTCGCTCTCTCTCGCTCGCTCGCTCTCGCTCTCNNNCTCTCTCTCTCTCTCTCTCTCCATACGCATGTTGTTTATAAGATATATACATATATATATATATATTGATGTTATATTCATACACATGCATATAAAGACAGTTAATACACATGCATTACAACGAACAAACAGATGTATTCTGCGCAACCTGCTCAATGCTCAATGGTTGAGGGCGGGACCTCAAGCCAGACAGCGCCAAACTACACAATCAGGCCCTGAGTCTCCCCAGCCTCAAAGCAACACCAAGCCTGAACTGTCAGGGGCGAAGTGGCGAGCCCGGAGTGTCGCGAGTGCACGCAGGGACTGGTCTCCTGGGCTCTAGAGGCCGATGGCAGTAGCCCCAGTACGGTCCATCTCAAATACATCTACGCTGGTTTGTAGCTGCGAGCATGACCTGGGAACGCCGAACATTACTAAGACATGGTGAAGATGAAGATGCAGAAGAATACTGGTATAGCAGCAAACAGATGAACGCAAACAGGTATGTGGACATTCTATGTGGGTTTGGCACATGTGTTCATACGTGCACACACATGCAAGAGTCATCTCTGCCTGTCGTACCCATCCCCAAATCCGAGCCATGACTGTGCCCGTGTTGGGAATTACTTCCAAACTCACAGGGCTAAGGGCTCCATTTGTGCCCGCAGATGTCGGAGCAGACTGCCCCAAATGGCTGACAGGCTTGTTTCTGTAGTTTCAAGACTTCCAGAGCGGCGACTTCACCATGCGAAATCAGAACAGAAGTTGGCAGCATACAACTGAGCTAAGCCGGTGAGTAAGCAAAACGGATCGTGTTCAAAGCCTGAGCCTGTTGTTCGTGCTTGTAATCCGTCAGATCTCGATCGAGAGTAGCCTTCATCAAGCCGGCACGATCAAGCCAATCCGAATGTCGGTGATGTGAAGCATGGTGCAGTTTTTCCACAACCCAAAGACTCTATTGACAAGTAAAGTTCTAATTCGCCTTTGTCTTGTTGTCTATACGATGTTGAATTCGAGAGTGCCCCGGCCATTGGAGATCCGTCGCATAATTGAGAAACTGCTGGGTTGAAACTTGACAAGTTGCAGCCCGCCGCTGAAACTGCACGTTTGGAGACTGATGACGTGGCTCGGTAAACATGAGTGCGCCCCTGGAGGATCAAAAGGGAACTACCTATGTTTGCCTCGACCCAGCCACTTCGACCACGAATACGACGACGTCTGCTGTTCGCGATCCTTGGACGGCAAGGTGGCAGGTGAGATGTGCTTCCTCGTCCGTGCTTGTTCCATCGGTCTAAGGCAACATCGGAGGTGTCCACAGGCATCACCGTAAATCAGCGCCTCTCCGCTACGGTGCTATTGATGCTGCTCGTATTAGGGGTTTCTTAGCGCATCGCGCTTATTTTCTTGTCGTTGTGCTAGTCTGGGCGAAGATCTTCCTTGCTCTTCTTGCCTGCCCGAAACTGGGCAATGCAAAGAACCGTCGGCTAGCTCATAATAGGGAACTGGAATTCCAAAAAAAAAATTCGTATAATTTCCAGATAATACCGACACTTGATATTCCGAAGATCAGACTATGATGATTAAAAGAACAGATATATGATCCCGGTTCGGCTTAGATCCCCCCCAGAACTCAGAATGGATCTTATCGGGCCTAATTCTGAAAATCCTTGATCCAAGAATAATGATAATAATGATAATTAATATAGATAAAAATGATGATGAAGATATTGATAATACTTATAATTATGATGATGAATGCAATAATGATATCGAAATATCTAGGGAGACCCGAACTACGAATCCCGGGGAGGGGGGGGGCGAGAGATCGAAAAGAGATCTAATTCTCGAATTATTGGGGCTCTTGGAATCGATACTTTAGATTTTATTTATATTTAAAAACTTTAAAGAAAAAATGAGAAAGATTAGCTATATTAGATTCAAATTTCGATTTTAAGAAGAATAGAAGATACATATATATATGATTATATTATGAAAATGGTAAGAGAGGTTTTAGATTTTTTTAATAAATTATGATATTAATTTCATTTTTTCTTTCTTTTGCTACACGATATTTGTTTTTGATTAGAGGTTTTCTGTTTTCTCTTTCTTTGAAAATCTCTTTTTCTTATGATTTAATATATATATATAATTATGCAGGCATAATATGATATATTTTTCTTGCCGCAGAGCGAGATATCTTTTCTTCTCTTCTTCTTTTTTCCGTCTCATCTGAAAGATGATATCTTTCTTTCTCTTGTTATCTTATTTCAACTTAGCTATAAATATATAGGTATACGGCACGATTCGCTCTTCTTTCTCTTACGATTATTTATTTTCTCTCTTTTCTCTTCGTCTGGAGCGAGATATCCTTGATGCTTTGATTCAATTTATATTTACATATATAGGCATAACGATATATATTCTTCCCTGTCGTTATAGATCGAGATATTTTTCTTTCTCTTGCGATTTTAGATCTATGGATTTTCTACATCCATTCCAGATTCGCTCTGAATCTACTAATCATTAAACATAATTGCCAAGAACGGATTTGAAATAATTAATCTTTATCATTCGAAAAACATCGAGAATCATATTAATTATTGATTTTATCTTCCTTAGAGTAATATAATCATTATAAATATTATTTGTATTCTTCTTAATTAAGGGCGGGCGGGGCGAGGGGCGCTGGGCGCGGAGGGGCGCGGGCCCGCATGGCAAAACAAGGTGCAGGGCGGACGGGAGGCTAATCTTGAATGCATAGGTCACAATCATCTATATATATTTTTTTCTTTATCTAAATATATCTCGAATCTATATAAATTCGATATTGAATCTAAATAAATAATATTAATTTGAGATAAGGTTTCCATTTCGAAATTGATTCTAATAATTTCTCTGTTTTCTTTATAATTTCGAGATATCTAGATTCTTTCATATTATAATGAGATTTCGATTTTTCTTATATTTTTACGATATTTCGAAAATCTTAATATTAGATGAATATATATAAGAATATATATATATAT